TTATAAGATTATACGATATCTACATGGATATCGGACGAATAGCTTTCCTGATTGATATTCGTACGCAACCGCTGGCTAACGCAGAAAAGCGATGCAGATAGAAAATGTTACACGAGAGAATATAAACTCTCCGAATATAAAGCCTTATGACAATGTCAAAGCGCAAGCACTTGTGTAATCAACATATCGGCTTACCCCGAAGAACTTTGGAAAAGTCTCCACTATCTTGGAAAGATGATTCCGTTTTGGTACAAAATGTTTCGCGAACTCATGTCGCATTTGCGTGTAAAGCAACGTTTTCAAGAAAAAAGAAGATCGATATAATATAATATAATATAATAAATTAAATAATATTAAGAACGCGACGTTTATATTACTCGCAGATGCGAATTGGGTCTTGAACGAAAAACCTGTGCGTTGTATATCGTGATAATTCTGTTACGTTATTTTTCACAATGTCTTGGTTTTATAATATATATTTATTAACTATATACAATCCACATGTCATCGTGACCGTCGTCATTGCCGTGTCACTATTATTACCGTTATTATCATTATTACTATTATATGTCGCGAGTATATTATTTTATCATTATTTTTTATTATATCAGCAGCACACACACACACACACACACACACACACACACACACACACACACACACACACACACACACACACAATCAACTATCATCATAGCTATTAATATTATTTTCATCAGCATTATCATTTGATTTCATAATCGTTTTATTATCGCTATCGCTATCCCTATTGCTACGATCATTATTATTGTTATTATTATCAATTCCCGTATTCTCGTTGTCACCAACGAGTTATCGTAACTATAGTTTCATTATTGAGTTTCGCGTGCTGTCATTACCGCTACCGTTATCACTATGATCACTATTATTGCTGCCGCTCTGCTGCTACTGCTACTGTTATTACTATTTTGGATCAGTACAGTTACTACAAACACCCATTATTATGATTACGATTGATTTTACTACAATTATTATTATTGCCACGCATCATTATTATTATTATTATTTTTAAGCAATATCAAATGCATTTTAATATATTTTCATTTTTATATGCAATAAGAAATGTACTATATATTTGGTTTAATAACTCGTTTGTGTTGTCACTTGTTTTTCTAGTTCACCTATCACATCCTCAACGAAAAAAGAGTAGACTAGAGAAGATTTTATTATTATTCATTGTTTATGTTAAACGACATGTCGACAATTTTACCGAAATTGCGAATAGGAAGATTATATCATCGAGAAAATGATTCTTTTTTTCTTTCAGGGCGGGAAGGTAAGTGACATAAATGCGATTTGGCATATCTATTCTTCGAACGTTCAGTTAACGTATTTTTTTACAAGCATCATTAAACAACTACGATGTTCTCAAATATTACAACGTTCGAATTAACGAATTTTTTATTTCGGACGCTGTAGTATTTTTCTCAAGTGACTGGAATCTAGCTGATATGGATGTTAAACGCGATTCTTCAACATCTGAAACATTTTTCATGGATTTTTCAAAACCACAGTCAAATAATTGATTTCCGTGTGTCAATGGAGAATCGATGTTTTACTCTGTAATCCTGTCGTATTCGGTAAACCTTGCATTCGCGGTGACGCGGTAAAAGAACTGAAATACAAATAAATATAAGACAAGATATGAGAAATAAAATATACACAAACATATACAGTAAAATAATGCTACAAAAAGCAATCACTAATATTATAATTATTATTCGTTAGAAAACATGGAAAACTCATTCGCAGTATTGCGATTGAAACGATCAGAAATAATGTATGTCGAGCATAAATAATTACGTGTTTCTAATTTAAATTGTACATATATATTTTTTTATTCAATATTAAGAGTAGAACAGGACCGCTTATATGAATGCATTAACTAAATAAGACAATCAATTAATTTAAATGTTGGAATAATATATCTATATGTATTTAAATAAATTATCTCATATAATGACTACGCGCCGATTACTTGCAACACAATTAAACTGAAATAATGATAATCTAACCCAAATTAAATTAAATCGTCAATTTGATGCTACTAGCATCTTAATTTTTTTATTCCTCATATCTTACTTTTTATAGTTTTGTGTTTCTGCTTTATAAACCGCACGCGCGAACATCCGCGTTGAAAATTGATGTTCCATCTGATTTTAAATTGCGTTGATAATTTATAAATTTAGAAATCGTTCATAATTAACCGCTCGTGTTGATGATCAGGACATATATTCTTGAACCTAACCTACATCTATATCGCATATAGGACGCGCTACCGTGAGGAGTACGAAGTAAGAACGATTCGTTTCATCGATCAGAAAGCACCCGACACTGATTTCCGGTTTAAAACTATCTCTCGAGCGAAATATCTTTTCCCCGTCATGAGTACTTTCGAAGAAAGAGAGAGGGAGGGGGAGGAGGAGAGAGAGAGAAAAAGAGAGAGGAAGACAGAGAGAAAGAGAGAGGAAACCTTCGCATAAGCGGGAAGTTTTTGTTGCGTGTCGAGTGCAAAAATATAAGACGGTGAGTACGAAGGAAGAAGTGCATATCGTAGAAAATCGGAAAAATGAAGGAGTCAAAACCAGAGACTACCCTTCTGAGATTAGCTCGTTCACGCGATCATACGAATACGAGGGGGATCGATTTCGTAAAAAGTCGCCACGCAGCTCGCCAGAGTCACGCATATTTAATTATGTTTACGTTTATGTTCACATTTATTTGTTTAGTTTATTTCGAGTTGCATGCTTTAAATGTCATCCAGAATGCTCAGTGTACCTGTACTCTCTCGTCGTCTCGTTTCTCATGTCTGTTAGACTTCGTGTACACACACATCTGAGATCCGTCGAACAATGTACATGCATATTCATAATACGAGTCGGCAAACGACTTGTGTACACATTCCACTTCTCGATTGGAGGACATATATGAATTTGCGGTCCCATAAATGATTCCTTTTGTCTCATCCTTACCTTCCCCTTACAAATTTTTATTGTCATTTATTTCTCCAAGTGATATTATTTAAGATCTTTTAAAGTGAGATTATATTTTCAGCAAAATGATACATTGCTAGGATCTTGAATGGTTAATGACAAAGTTATTCTGAGGTAATTATGGATTAAATTGTAATAAGAAAGAGAATATGAAATATAAAAAATACCACGTAACGCGTGTAAGCACACACACACACACACACACACACACACACACACACACACACACACACACACACACACACACACACA